ATCCATCATGAGATGATAATGCACCGCAGACACACCCAGAAGGGAGGTGCAATTGTCTGCTCACCACAGTTATGATAAGGAGCTGAGGGATTCTAGAGCACACAAATGATAAACAATCATACTGAAACATCAGCAGTCATCCAACTGAGAATGGCTAATCAAAACTTTGGCTTTGACGGCATCTCCTCTCCATTTTTATCACATGCTCTTTTCCACAGAGAGGCAAAGTCTACTAAAGTCATTTCTACATCCACTTCTCCCAACAGGAACAGTAAGAAAAGTCACTCTCATATCTCCTGCCTTTCTCTCCCACCGCAACAAGAACAAGCGACATTGGCACATCATATGTTACTGAACAAAGATGGATTGTTGTTAATGGTAAGTGTATCCACATACCATGAAAATCAAGGGAAAACAAAAAACAATAAATAACCCACAGAAACCTTGAAAACATGAATCAGATAAGGGAAGGAAGCATTAGAGGAGTAGAGGGAACCAGAGATGCTCACAGTGAAGTCTTCTAGGCCTTTATTCCAGGCCTTAAAATCCATCCCTGAGGGCAACAGGAAGTCACTGACATCTCATGGGGCAAGTGTGGCCATGAGGACTTAAAAAGCACAGCAGGATAGGGGGGTTCATTTGAAGAATTCGTCCTCTACTCAGTATCTATTCCTACTGCATGGACTGTTCACCTTGCACAGTTATGAAACCATCATTTTAATCAGCTTCTCATTGGCTTTCTTGTAAAGATAAATCTTCTGACAAATTACAACAAATTCCTTTATTGCCTCATCCACATAGTACCCAAACAGTGATCAGTCTTAAGTGACTGAAGTAAGGATGTGATGAAAAACGTCAGTCACTGCTTCATATTTCAAAGAAATTACTTGATCGTGAAAATGAGGTGCAGTCTTCTGGGAAACCCAGGCCTGAATGAAAGTGGAATTACAATTCTGAAGAAACTCTATATCACTATGTGGCATAGAGCTACAGATAATGGAGCTTTCACACAGGATTAATTANTATCTGAGATGTGCTGGCGGGTGTTTTCAGGGCATTCTTTTCAGTTACACTGAACAGTCAGAACAAATATTTATGGCAGGGCAGAAAAGAATGGAATTCAGCTGCTATTAATAAAATCACAGTCCATCTACAGAAGCAAAAAACGGTAATATAGGGAAGATTTCAAGACCTTTTGCATACTTTGTCACAAGTCTTGAATTGTTAATCATTATGTTAGTCCTTAGCTGAGATGAGTTAATTTCAGATATACCTCAGCCCAAAGCAATGTAAGAATCCCCTATGACAAGATAGCAGAACAACATTTACTCTTTTCCTCCCGACTCGTTAAAGTTATTTCATCTGCATTTCCATATCTGACTGGCTGACAATGGAAAGCGCGAAGCAACGATGAGTCCTTCACAGAGCCAAACAATATTTTCGGTTTCAAACCTAAATGTTTTTAAAGGCCATTTAATCCACAGCTCTGCCATAAGCAGGAACACGTCCTGATAGACTTGAATGTTGGATGCACGTCTAAAAATTCTTTGGGCAATATCTTCCATTTTGACACAACACACACTAAAAAGATTTCTCCTAATCAAAAACTACCTCTTTTAGTGGAAAACAACAGTCTGCTGTCCTATGATCACAGCACATCATAAAAAGAGCTTGTCCCATCCTTCCTAAAAGCTTGTTTATAAATAATTTCAGAAGTCTACACAGAGGGATCATTTCTCTATGCTTGAATAACTACACTCCTTCAGTGCTTCTGCACTGCAGACAACCCTCAGGCAACTTCCATGATCCTTCTTGGAACTCTAGCATGTCCATTCGGATATTGGCCCAAGATATACATGCAGTCTGTGCTCTCACAAAAAGAGATTAGAGGAGAGGAAGGACCTGCCCTACCATGCAGGGCAGAGTGCTTGTCATGCAGTGCAGGACACAATTCCAGCAGCAGGTGCCCATGGGCAGCGCATGCCCCACATCATCACCCACCAATAACCCAAAGCACTTCTCCACAAATATCTTCCTATCCCCAACTCTCTCTGTAAACTGGGGATTGCCCCAGCCCAGCTGCAGGACCTTGCACTTTGATCCATTTCATGATGGCTGCACGGGGCCACTTCTGCAGCCCATCCCTGGCTGCCATCTCTGCCCTGCAGTGAATCAGCTCCAATCGGTGTCA